GATTCTCCACTCACCTGAAAAATTAGGTGTCTTGGGCTGGAGAGATGGCTCAGTAGTTAGAGAACTTAGTTGCTCTTGCATAGAACCTGGGTTGGATTCCCAGCACCCACCTTTAATTTCAATTGCAGGAGATTCAGTGTCTTTTGACCTCTGCAGGCACCAGGCATGCAGGCAAAACATCCATACACATAAAATAAATACATTTAAAAATTAGGGTTTAAAAATTTTTTTTGCCATTGAGCTGCATAAAATTTTCACACATTTTAAATGCAAATCCTATATTAGATCTGTAATTTGAAAACCAGGTATGGTGGTATACCATATATATGATATGGTTATTCTAACACTTGGGTTATAGAGGCAGGAAGATCAGAAGTTCAAGGTCATCCTACACAGGCTCTTAAGGCTGACCAGTCTGGGATACCTGAGGCCCTATCTCAAATAAAAAGGCAAGAATATAATTTGAAATTTTTCTTTCACCCTGTAACTTGTTTTTTTGCTTTTTTGATGGTGTCCTTGTTTTGTTCATAGTCCAGAGATTGGACATCAAGCAAGGCAAGCAAGTACTCTATCTACCACTGAGCTATGTCTTCAGCCCTCTTTCTTGCTTTCTGAGAATGGATTTCTCTTTAAGTTACCAGAGCTGGTATTGAACTTGCTCTGTAGTCCAGGCTGGCTTGTGATCCTCCTGCCCCAGCTTCCCAAGTTGCAGAGATTATAGTCCTGCACCACCAGGCCTGGCTTCTGTCTTGTTTTGAACACAGGGTCATATTACATATGTAGTCCAGTCTAGCCTGGAACTTGAGATCCTCTTGCCTCAGTTTCTTGAGTTACTGGGATTGCAGGGGTATGCTATCACACTGGCTGGTGGTTCCTCTTAAAGCAAAATAATAATGATAATAAAATTATTTACTTAAATTGTCTCTATCCCCCTCCTTTTTTTGCTATTTTAGTGATTTTGGGAGATTATTGCCAATCAAAGATTATGAAGGTACATTCCCCCATCTTCCTCTCTTTGCTTCTAAGGGATTTATATTTTTAGTTCTTAAGTCTTTGATCCTTTTGGGTGCTATTCTAAACTCTACCCTCTGTTTGCTTTGTGGTCTTGCATGGTTCATTTGCCCTTTCTCAGACTCATTTTTCATCTGTAAAATGGAATCAGTTAATTTAGCTAAGTATGGTTACTTCAAAGTCTTGAATTCTTTTACTTGTAGTTTATTAAGTGGTATAGTGAAAAACACTTAGACGTATAAGGAACCTATTATGTTTGAATGCTGCTTTTGTAAAATATGCATAAAATATATTTTCTGAATGAAACACTATTCTGAATAAATGTCAGCATATAATTTAAAAAAACTAAAACCCATCACCTCAAGCTGTATTTCAGGAGCTTATTAGCCAATACAGGTATAAGATCTTTCCTTTCCTTCCTCTCTTAGTGCAGGGTTGGGGGAGGGATTTGTGATATACAAACGCAAATCCAAAGCCTTGTGCATGCTAGGCAAATGGTCTACCTTTTAGTACATTCCCTAGCTGATACATTGGGGCTGGAGAAATGGCTTAGCAGTTATGAGCACTTACTGCTCTTTCGGAGGACCTGGGTTTGGTTCCCAGCATCCATATCTGGCAGCTCACAATTGTAGTTCCAGTTCGAGGGGGTCCTATGCCCTCTGACCTCTGTGGGCACTTAACACTCGCATGGTGCACATAAACTCATTCAGGCACACAAACTACATGTAACAAATAAATCTTGAAAATATTTCTGTCAGTACATGACATATTGGATAGGACAGCTTTAGACTGTCCATCTGGAAAAGATGAAGATTCAAAAAATGGTACAACTTGGTCAATTTTTAGTATGTTTTTTTTTCTCAGTAGCTCTTTTAATCTCATCTGAAATAAGAATAATGCCAGTTAACTATTTAATAAATAACTGTATATGTAGGTACCTAATCTGTAAAGAAAATCCTTACAACAACAAATAATAGATGCATTATTGTCAGGAGCTGGGAGTAAGGCAGGGGATTGACCAAAAGGATATAGTTAAAAGTAATAAAAATCTTAACATCTTGATTATGGAATTATAGTTATTTGTATGAATGAATACATTTTTAGGCTCAGAACTATGTTCCTAAAAAGAGTAAATTTTACTATGTGTAAATTCTACCTCAATAAACTCATTATTTAAAAACAAAAACACCTTATAGCTGGGCCATGGTGACAAATACCTTTAATCCCAGCACTTGAGAGGCAGAGGCAGGCAGATCTCTGAGTTTGAGGCCAGCCTGATCTACAGAGTGAGTTCCAGGCCAGCCAGTTCAAGACACAGAGAAATCCTGTCTTGAAAAATCAAAACAAACAAAACACTTTTTATATAGTATTCTTTTTCATTCTGAGACTAGAGGAAACTGAGGCTCAGAATGGTTAGGACACTTGTTTTCTGTTGATATGTGGTAATTGTAGAACCTAAATCTGCCTGACAGTAAAACTTGTGATTTTAGCTGATGGTTTTTAGTCTGTCCCTGGAATGATGAGCAGTATACAGATTCTGTTGCAAAGGATAATCCCTTGGAAGCTAGGAACTCTGATCTCAGCTCTTCCCCATAAGTGGCTATAGTAGTCTTACTTTAATTTTGTTTGTTTATTTACTTTTGAGACAGAATCTTACTGTGTATCCCAGCTGGGTCTTGAACTCACAGCAATCCTCCTGCCTTAGCTTTTTCAGTGTTGGGATTACAGCTTTGCATCATCATACTTGGCTTATTCCAAATATTAGACCCTGGCAGATGTCTTCTCTGTCAGTTACTGGTTGGGATTGAATTGATGTTGTTATGCCGTGTCATGGTCTCCTATGTCTGTCTGTGGCTCTCATTTTGGAGCAGCAGGAGATCTGTTTCACAGCTGATGAGTTTCTTTGATTATAAAAACATTTCCCATTTTGTCCAATCAGCAGCACAGGGTGTGTTCTCAGTAGGAGAATGTGCAGATGTTTGTAGGGCCAGTTGTGCTGCCCAGCACATGTTTTAGTCTGTTTGATTCTGCCATTACAATGCCACAGATTGGATAATTTATAACAAGAAGTTTATGTGCTCACAGATCTGGAGTTGGGAAGTTCAGTAACAAGGTGCAGGTGTCTGGCAGGGTCTTCTTGCTGTGCCAATCCATGATAGAAAAGGAAAAGAACAAAACAAGAGGGTAGGAAAAAGAGCACAAGAAACCACATCCATTCTCTGTGGGGAACCCTCTCCAGTATAACAGCATTAATCAGTTCATGAGAGCGGATTCCTCATGTTGTCTTAAACATTACACCTCTTACTATTGTTACGGTGGCCATTAGGTCTCCTACACATGCTCTTTAGTGGATACCACATTGAAGCCATGGCAGCGTTTTAACAGTCTAACTTAACTCTGACTTGTTAGGCAGAGAACTGGTTGAGGAGAAGAAGGTCCAAATTAGGAAAAGTGTTCAAGCAATCATCTCTGTTGTCTGCACAGATGTTGTCATACTTTGTTTATATCTGCACATCACTTTACAGTTAGCAGGAAACTTTAACATCAGAGTTAATTCTCAACTCTGGTTATGAAAATGCTTTTTTGCTAAATTGAGCTGAAAATACACATACCTTCTTTTAACATATATCCTTAAGTTGTAGCTTCAATTTGTAGATAAGTGTATTGACCCTGTTTGTTAATTCTGATGTTGTTTGCCAGGGCTTTGCATTAGGTCGATTTATGAAAGTTCTAGATTATGAAATTTACCACTGGCATTTCCTGTTTGTCTATCTGATGGGCCTAGTGTCCTGTCCTTGGGAGCCCATCAATTCTCCACCTCTCATTCCAGAACCCTGGACAGACTTAATTAGTCACAGAGCTGTTGTCATCAAGCCAGATGTTCACTGCCTGCCTTCAGCATTTAACTTGTTTCCTGTCCTGGGGTGCAACAGGAGTTAATGACCTAAAAAATTGCCCATCTATCATGTAAACCTAGTTAGGAGAGAATTGTTGGATTTTTATGGAGTGTAAGTAATATATCTGGAGACACATATTCAAACATGTCACCTTATGTGTAAGATATGGCTTTCTAAACAGGATGGGACAAATTGGCTGGTTAATAGAGCTTAATGACAGTTTTTCCATTAATCAGAATGGAGAATGTCCTTCATTAAGGTAATTAACAGAGCACTTGTGCAGGTGATAGTTATTGCACACAAATTTCCAAGTTTATTTCTTTCCCTTGAATACATTTGGCAAGAAGTCTTGGCTGTGTTTCTTTTTCTACATTAAGATGTTCAATGGCATCAAATTTCCCCTTTGGGGACCATTAAGATAGTTCAGTAGGTAGAGATGCTTGCAGCCAGATCTGACAACCTGAGTTCTGTCCCTGACACACATAATGCAAGAAGAGAACCAATTTCTGCAAGTTGTCCTCCGACCTACGTATGTGCATGAACACACAAATAGATGAAATAAAAATTCCTCCTTTTTTCCTTTAAAGATGCTAGTAGCTTTTATCTTATGTACAGGCACAAGGGGTGGACAAGACATTTGCTGTTCCTTCCTCCTGGCAGGCTAAGTGCTCACCACCAGACATCCAAGCTTCCTTGGTGAACTGAAGAAGTATGACATTTTCCAGCTTGTGAGTTAGCATCATTAGAAATAGAAAAAACCTTGGAGATCAACTAATCCACTTAATATTAGGATATTGAAGTCCAAAGAAGAAAGGTGATTTGGTCAGTGCCACACTAATGTCAGAACTCTCTGTGGGATACCGGGGTTAATATTAAATTGAGAGCCTAAAATGGCTGAGTTGACATTAAACAAGTTATTGCTCTGTCATTCTTCATTTGTAAAGTGGGAAAAGTATTATACTCTGTTTAGTCCCTTTTTCCCTATACCAAGAGGCTTCCCTTTGAGTATAACTGAAGGCTTTAGAGGAGAAGATGACGTCAGAGGGAGTGAGCAATTACTAATCAATACTGTCTTACTTATTTTTGCTGTAGGATCCTCTGTCTTCCACAATGAACCCTGTTTACAGCCCCATGCAACCTGGGGCTCCTTACGGCAACCCTAAGAACATGGCCTACACTGGTGAGTGGTATAAGAATGGATTGTTGTTTTTCAATTATTCTTTGATAGTTTCTTATATTTATTTAATATATTTTAGTTGTTTTTACTCCCATTATCCTTTTTCACCCCTCCTTCCAGTGAATGCCTCTAGCTTGCTTAGTGATTTACAATTTACTCCAGGGCTCCAGAAGCCCTGGCAAAGTTGGGGAAGCTGGAAAAGATATATTTAATTAGGGTCCTGTAGTGATGGAAATAGAGGTGACAGACAGAGTCTCACTATGTAGCCTTGGAACTCACAGAGATCTACCAGCCTCTGCTTCCTGAGTGCTGGGATTAAATGTGTGCCACAATGCCCACCAGTAGAAGGGGCTTTCCTGGTTAAAGGCTATTGAATTATCAACAAAAGGGAAGCTAACACTTACTGAGCACCTGTCAGGGTTCTGGCCTGTGGTAGGTACCTTTAATATCTTATTTCACTTTCACTTATTTATCTATTTTAAAAATGTATTTTAGAGAGTGTGTGTGTGTGTGTGTGTGTGTGTGTGTGTGTGTGTGTGCCACACTCACTTTGATACAAGTGTGGAAGTCAGTACAACTTTGTGGAGTTGTTTCTCTCCTTCTACAGTGTGGGTTCTGGGGAATCAAACTCAGGTTATCAGGCTTTGTAACTACCTTTAACTGCTGAGCCATCTCTCTGGGCCCTAACTTTGATTTTAAAGTAAATCCCATACAATGTAGCTTGTTATCACCATTTCACAGATGAGAAAATCATAGGCATAGTGGACACCACAGAATCAAAATTAGTTAACTGAACCCAAGTAGTTACTTCTGAAGACTGATCTTTTTTAAAGCTCTTATATTCCAGTGTGTTTTTTTCTTCTGTTTTTATGTGTGTTGCTCTTTTGTTTGGAGTGTTGTTATTCTCTGACTGTCTCACCTTATCCCTCAAGAAATTTACCTTGAAGCCAAGCATGGTAGCTCACACCTACAGTTCCTGCACTTGGGAGACTTTGATAGGAGGATTTCCATGTGTTTGAGGCTAGCATGGGCTACTGTAAGGCAGGCAGCATATAATTATATAATTAATACCTGGCATAAAGTAATTGCCTAATGATAGTTACTCTTATTTAAAAGTAAAGTTAGGTAGGGTGTACAACAATGGAATTGAGTGAAAAGAAAATGTACCTTAAGGTATTTAGCTTGTATTTTGCACATCACAAGCCTTCAAAAATATTGAATAGAAATCAAGATAGGGTAATGTTATGAGTAAACACATTGGTTACAAGGTATGGTAGAGGTTAGAGGCTGTCACTCACTGGTACAGTCAGACCTAACTTATAAGAGGTCCTGGGTTCAATCCTCCAAGGCAAAAAAGAACATATAGCCAATTCTTGACTGTAGGAAAGAAGTAGTGAAGAGGAAAAGTAGCTAAAAATTTTGGTAGTGAGGTTGGAGTTGGAAAACTAGGAGAGTTTTGTTCCAGCATAGAGCCACTGACAGAGTGGAAGCTGTAAATTCTGTCATTCTCTTTACATTCCTCCTTATATGTTTTACTATATACATTATGTAGACTAGGAGTGAAGGTATCTCAGAGAGCCTGTTGTCTGAAGTTGGCTTTTTCTTTTCTTGACAGGGTCTCTGCATAGCCCTAGCTGTCAAGACTGGCCTCAAACTCAGAGATCTGCCTGCCTCTGCCTCCAGAGTGCTGGGATTAAAGGTGTACTCCACCACATCCAGCAGTTTTGTTTTTTGTATGTTTGTTTGTTTGTTGTTGTTTTAAAGACAAGATCTCATTGTGTAGCTCTCTGGCTGTTCCGGAACTCTATGTAGACCAGGATGGTCTTGAACTCACAGGAATTCCTGCCTCTGATGAAAGGCATGCACCCTCATGCCCAGTTAAGTCAGTGTTCTTAACTGCTGAGCCATCTATTGTTTTTTGTTGTGCTTAGGATTAAACCCAGAGCCTTGCACATACTAGACAAATACTCTACCCTGAGCTACACATTCAGCCTCAGCTGTTAATCTTTTTAACCTTAATAAAACAGGTTTCAATAATTCATTCAAATAATGTTCTGAATTACATTAGAAGTTCAGTTTGGTAGGATTATAGCAGTTATTTCTAACTTTCAATCCCACCTGTTACATTTACTACAACAGCTCTCTTGTTCTTATTAATCTTCATAGTAAAATATTTTCTGTTTGAACTTTTATATACTTACCTTGATAAAATTATTTCCAGTAGTCAGGACACATGGGACAGACCTAGCTCAGGGAGCTTGTTGCTTTTTCCCTTCCGGTTCAGGGTGTTCCCAGTAAAGTAAGTTTTTTTGCCAGAGGCAACTAAGCTGTTTTGGCGTGCAGAACCCCTGAGCTTCTGTAGGGTGTCAGTTTCCTATTTGCTGCCTTTGTGGCTAATTTCATTCCTAGGAATTGCTAAGCTTGAGAAGGCAGGAAACAGTTACACTTGTTGATTTGCACTAAAGGATCAAGCAGCATGCTATTGTCTCTGCTGGGCTCATGGTAGAAAATTTGGCAGTGCATTTTAATTGAATGAACAGCCAAGTTAAAAATTCAGCTCAGCTGGGTGGTGGTGGCGCACGCCTTTAATCCCAGCACTCGGGAGGCAGAGCCAGGCGGATCTCTGTGAGTTCGAGGCCAGCCTGGGCTACCAAGTGAGTTCCAGGAAAAGGCGCAAAGCTACACAGAGAAACCCTGTCTCGAAAAAAAGAAAAAAAAAAAAAAAATTCAGCTCTGTCAGTGAATACCTGGATGACATTAACCAATTGATTAACTTCCCTAAACTGAATTTGTTTTGTAAATTGAGATAACATTATAGATATTTAATAGGATGATTGTGAGAATTAAATTAGATAATTTGTACATTAGAGGGGGAGAAGAATTTTTTTGTGTCTACTAATCAGTAAATGTTATTATCCTAGAATTTAAATTCTCTGCTAGCGATTCTAGCACCCTGCAGGTAGCTTAATAACACACATAAAGAATATATTCAGTTTTTACCTAGACTAAGCTTTCAGATTCATAGACTTTCCTTTTTAAGCTCATTTTCCTGTTGTATCGTTGTACTTTTTTGTTTTATTTAGACTGATGATAAGACTCTTAAGTTTCCAGCTGTTTTGTTTTTACCCTTAGTATGTGAAACAGGGTGTCATGTGCTCTCAGCTCACCTTTAACTGACTGTGTAATCGGGGATGACTTTGAACTCTGAATTCTACTTCTTCCTCCCAAGTACTGGAACTATGCATATGTACCACCATGCCAGAGTGGGTCCCAGCTCTGTGCAGGGAAATTTGGGTTTCTACCCTCCTGAGGCTGATCATATCCTTATCTCCTAACCTTAGTGTCTATAAAAAGCAGTTTCTTTGCTGGCCAGGACCCACACACCTTACCAGAGCAGCCTGACAACAGCCCATTATTTAAACTTCCTGTTAGTTTTCCTCCTTCTTCATTTTTTGATTCCTAAGGATTTCATTTTCTTTCTTAAATATCTACTTTGCCTAAGAATAAGATGCTTATTATACTTCATCCAACTTCTGTAGGTTTTGTATAGGAAACAGATTTTCAAGTTATCTTATATACGGCTGGAAATGGAGGCTTGAAGTGAGATGAGTTGCTAAAGAGAGTACATTAAATATTTATTACTGATGATAGTAATACCTGTGTCAAAAGTTTTAATTGCCGTTTGGTAAGTACATGCTAGGTAACACATGTATTATTTATAATTAATGATTTTAAGTTTCATAATAGTTTTCTTTGCAGATAAAGAAATTGTGACAGCTTAATTTAGGCCATGTGATTTGAAGTAATTCATAGCTTCTCTAAAGGATACATAAAGATTTGAACTCAATTTTTTATGAGTTTATATTATGTGTTCATTTTTGTTATAAGGAAGTGGTCTGCCTTAAAGATGTGCTACTTTCATAGCAGCCAATGATAAGTGTCTTAGGTTTCTATTGCTCTGATAAAACATGACCAAGAGCAACTTGGTCACAACCCGTGTCTGTTGTTGAACTTCGCCTAACTTAAAGTATTTTTTTAATTTGTCAGCCCAAGCTGCCAAAGACAGGCAGTAAGTGCAGGAGACACACAAATACCTTTCTCCTGGTTCATGTTAGTAGTGGGCTCTTGATAGGATTTTTTTCCCCCAGAAGCTTCAGAAAAGATTTGTTGCTACAATTTCTAGATTTACATATACTTCTCTTTCCTTTCCTTTAAAAAAATGATTTATTTTTATTTTTTTATGTGCCTCAATGTTTTGCCTACTTATTTGTGTATGCACTACATGTGTGCCTGGTACCCTTGGAGTCTCTTTTCTGGCATAAGATATCCTAGAACTGGGGTTACAGAAGGTTGTGAGTTGCCCTATGGGTGATGGGAACTGGACCCTGGTCTTCTGTGAGGGCAGTAAGTGCTCTTAACCATTGAGCCCTCCCCCACCCCAATGTGTGTTTGTGTAGCCCTGGCAGGCTTGGCACTCACTGTGTAGACTAGGCTGGCCTTGAACTCACAGAGATCACAGGAAGCTTCTGCCTCCTGAGTGCTGGGTTTAAAGGCATGCTCGACAACCACCTAGCTGTTTCTGTTCTTAAAATATTCTGATGGTATAAGCATCCAAGTATCACCCAGAGGTCTGGTGTATGTTCTGGAAAAAGGAAGGTGTCTAGAGTGTCAACAGAAAATGAAAATATAGAGAAATAGATGAAGCTCTAAGCAATGGTTTTGTTTTTTACTTTTTCACAGATTTGTTTTTATTTGTGTGGGGTTTTTTTTGTTTTTGTTTTTTGCTTTTGGTTTTTTTTTTTTCCTTGGTTTTGGGGTTTTGGTTTTTTGTTTTTTTTTTTTATTTTTGAGATAGGGTTTCTCTGTGAAACAGTCCTGGCTGTCCTAGAACTTACTTTGTAGCCCAGACTGACCTCAAACTCACAGAGATCTGCCTGCCTCTGCCTCCGGAGTGCTGGGATTAAAGGTGTGCACCACCACCACTGCCCAACCAGTGTGTATAT